CCCCCCCCCCCCCCCCCCCGCGCGCTCTCGATGCGAGACGTCGAGCGCAACACCAAGCAAACCAGCATGTCTGTTCAATTATGGTGTAGTCTATTTGTATTGTTTTTCAGAAGTATGCATACTAATGACCAATATTCTTTGGATGAAGAAATGACGAAAAGAAAGGGTGTTTGCGGTGAACGCCAAACCAACGCCTGCATGGACAACACGGTGCTGCCGAAGGGAGGCAGGGCGCTGGCGATTGATGCCGTTCAGCCTGAGTGGGAGATCGAAAGCTCCGCTCTGTATGAACGGCCTACGGGCATTCGGCTCAGGTTGGAGCTGCTCTGAGCCACGCAACCGAAGCGGGAGCCCCCTCATAGACACGTGTTTCCACCACCTATCTATACCCTGTTCACGTTTGTACCTGGGAACGGCTCGGGGAGTGTGTACGTCTGCTTCATTCAACTCTCAAGAGGATATCGATGGGGAGGAGAATAGAGAATAGATGACATGCCAATGTCAGCGAACTTGAACAAAACACACGGTGACAACAAAGGCCAGCTCACCCGACCCTTCTTCCTGGAGAACAAGAGGGAGGGAACCAAGCATCCGTGCTCGCCACAGAAAGAGCTACACATGACACAAACCTGGCGTGACCACACACATGTTTGTCTTGTCGTCGGATATGAAAACAGCAGGCAGGGTAGATCAGCCGTTAAAGTACACCGTGACGAAAAACAAACCGTCGTGTACGCCTCCTAGCCATCCGTACCCGCCGCTAGACAGCCGGTACACGGTTATTACCCGTACCGGATTTCCAGGCCGCGATTCGTCGGATTCGGCGGTCTGCTGTAGGTAGAGGTCGTGGGGGCCAAAATTGCGAAAGTGTTGACGCTTGGCGACACTGCGGCCATCAAAGCAAGCGTCCTGGGGTAATTTCTCCTGGCCTCCCCACATGCGGGGCCCTGAGACAGAATATCGTTACTCGCAACTTAATCCCGGCCTTGACTACTAGTGGACATTCAAGCTAAGCCCGACATCCAGTCGGTTTTTCCCCATTCACTGTAAAGATTTAAACCCGTCTGACTGGGGTTATATCTCGAACGGGTGGTCATTTCCTTGATGGCATGTTTAACTTCCAAAAGGAAGTGCTCGAAAGCGAAATAAAGTCTGTGGCCGGTGTACGACACCAATCAATGCCGATACATAACGTCCCTGCTAAAAACACTTGCATCCCGTACCAAACAGCAACCGAAAGAGACAAAATACGAGGGCAAACGTTTCACCTCCATGCCAACATTCCCCCCTCGTTTCACCCTTTGAATGGGTTGACAACGCCCCATGCTGTGTCCGTCGAATGGTAGCAACCATGGAGTCCCCACGGTAGAGTACACCCAGAGGAGAAGAAAAAGAACGAATCCCTAATATAAAAAAAAAGTGGCACGCACAACAGGTGCCCCCCCGCCCCCCCCCAACCCATTCATGGGCACAGAAAAAGTAATTTCTCTTAAAGGTCTACGCATAGTGGTGGTGTAGCAGGTGCGTCTAAGAGCCCCAAACAATTATCTTTAGTCCCAGAGGGGTTGATCCTCCAGAGGCATCAACAATATTCTCCTCTGCGTACTACAACTTGTATAGTCGTTGCCGCGGAGAATCGTTGTTTCCCCGGCCCCACTTTAGATATATATTGCTCGTCTTCAGGTGTAATCATGATGACTAAAAAATGGATAGACTATGCTAACCTAGCTTCTTTTCGAACAAAACACGTCTTGTCCTGCCCGCCTCCCCCCACCACTCCAAAGTGCTCGCTTTAACCCTCCCTCAATCCCAAAGTTTCATCCTCTCGAAAAGCTATGTAGCCTAACTGTATTTCTGGAGACAGACCTCCTGCGCATGTCAAAAGCAGCGAGTGCCGACACGATACAGAGAATATTGCGTGGATCTAGTCTACGCCGCCCTCGCGCACAGCAGTGGCCGTCGACAGCCCCCGTAGATATCGTTTCTAAGCGCGCATCGTGCCATCAACCCCGAAACCCAAGGTTCAAACAATTCTTCCTTTGTTTCCAAGACAAACAACAATCACCGAAAGGTTGGGTGTCAGCGTCCACCAATCATACCGCTCGACAGCTCCATGATGACATGAGACCATCCCAGTCTCTCAAGTTGGAACGAAAAGGAACCGGAGCGTTTGAGATATGGTTCGCAAATAGAACCAACGGGCAGACCCCGGCAGAAATTCCAATCTCTGCAGGCGGCACTCTCCACTGCATGCTGCTCACAACAGATCTCGCGGGTGCTCTTAGGGAAACGCATGCGACTCGTCGTCCCGAAGGGTGTGTGTGTGTATGATCCAAGTCTCCTCGATGAACAGCCTGCAAGGTACAGACAAAACCCACCGCGCCTGTAGTTCCTCCCCGCTTTACAGGAAGGAGCGGTCAAAAGTTCATCCCATGGAGGGGAACACAAACGCGTCCCAAAAAAACTCAACAAGCAGCCAAGGAAAGAACAGCCACCCCCAAAACACGACGGCACCTCTATCGATATTCGCTCAACTCACTTAAAACGCCAACCTAAAAGTAGGGGGGTGGGGGAAACAAAGGGTTACGAACAGGACAATTCAAGGAAGGGGGCGCCGAGCTTGGGGTCACGCAAGAGTACCCCCCTGTACCCCACGTGCCGACCGCGGAGCCCCCCGGCATCCCGCTTGTTGTCATGAAGGCGAAGAGCGACCGACATGCTCGAACTCGTTGGGAAAAGGGGGACGCGGTACCTTTTTCTGATGGCGTCAGTTACAAGACCCCGCAGGATCATTACTACATACGCCCCCCCCACCTACCCAACCTAAATAGGGAACAAGGTAGGAAGTCGTCCACAAGGGCCGGGTATCTTCCGTAATAACTATTGTCACGTCTTGCCATGCCAACGTCATTACGCGACAGGACGTGACCATGCATGGTATCTAAAGTAAGGACTAGTCCTTTTGCTTTGCCTCGCCAACGTCACCACAAGACAAGACAATGACCATGCATCGTATCTTCCGTAAGAAGAACTACACAGATCCGCTGTATTGCCCCTTGCCAACGTCATCACACGACACATGGCATGACATGGCACGGCATTACATGCCCCCTTCCCGAAGCACGTCGAGCATGTTGTACACGCGCTTGTCGGCTCCGGACCCCGCCTTCCCCGCTAAGAATTCCACCGCGTCCGCCGTGCCTTCCGCATACATCAGCCGGCCGCACACGTTGTGTCGGAACTGAAACTCGACCCTGTCGAAGTTAATTTCGATCGGAAAAATACTAGAATCGGCCCAACATTCGAGCAGAATGCGCGTACATCAGCCGTCTACACACGTGCTGTCGTAAGTGAAACTCGACCCTAAATAGTAACAAGACGGCTGACTTTCGATCGGAAAGGACAAGCGATACATGTCTCCCCTACGAAAACTGGCTTTGCCTTTTCAAAATATATATATATGTTCGTCGACCATGTCGTCGTTCCAACATGAAAAAAAAATTAAGTTCGTCCCTTCCACCATGTACTTACGTTCCATCGTTGCTCTTGAGGCTGTAAGTGTGGAAAGCGTGTCCAGCTAGGTGCTCCTCCGGCACCCCGAACGCCAGCTGGCCCTCAGTGTCGCGAACCTGCTCGTGGATGCATTCGCAACCACCAATTCAGCGCAACGCATCAAGGGTTGCCTTCAAAAACCCACGCCCAGCATCAAGGGACTAAAACACAAGCTCACACGACAAGTGCAGTTTTCTTCTGTTGCAACCGTTCCTGTCCTTTGTCCGGATAATAGCCTAGCCTCCCCCGTGGCGCCCCCTCACAGGGTCATGGCAGCCTCCACAAGAACTTTCAACCGCGCTGAGAGCGACGTCTTTTCATTGGTCAACCGGTTATACCGCGGTCGATATGCAACTACAACAAAGACACGCACACACGGCAATGATGGCCTTCAGAACTATTTTCTGTTTTCTGCGACACGAAGACTGGTGTCATTTCATAGGTCAGCCGGTTGTACCGCGGTCCACGCTAACAATACACGCACACATCAAAACGGCAACGATGGCCACCAAGGGCGCGTGGTCTCGCGAAGCCCGGTCATTAAAACCAAACCAAAAACCCACCTTGTTGATGGATTTGACATCGTAGTCCTTTGCCGTCAGCTTGGCAAAGTCAGCCGCGAGTGCCTTCGCCGTGCCGCTTGTGTCTACCTTGGCGGACTGGTGGGACTCCGTTATCTGGTTGCACCGCACCGATCAACACCAGAAAAAGATAAATATGACATCGTGTGTAAAGGCATGGTAATCCAAGCTTTTGATCGTGCGATCTGGCTCTCAACATACCACACCCCACGCGCACGGCCTGTGTACCTCGAGCTTGTAGTCGGCGAACGATCCGGGGAACTCTCTCGCCATGTTGTCAATCGCGCTCTGGTAGATCCCAACCCCGTGCGTATCGGTGTTGTCGATGATTGGTCATGATGCAGCAGGCCGTCGATCGGAGTCGTGGATCGGAGTCGTGGATCGGAGTCGTGGATCGAAGTCGTAGATCAGAGTCGTAGATCGGAGTCGTAGATCGCGGCGATCAAGCAATACAAGCAGCGTCAATTAATGGACACCGGCAAGAGGGGCTACGGATCGATCGAGCCAAGCATTGTTGTTGTCGTCATGTATGTGTTTTTGACGTTATGAAACCTATTCCGGTCTCTGCTCAGCACCTCTTAACATCCAAACCAGTCCAAACTGACACGTAGGCCTTCCGTGTTCACAGGCAACAAAAAAGTAGCTTATTGGGTACAACACGTTTACTCATTCCACTCTTGTCGACATCCCTAGAATGCAAAAAAAAAAGTCGACATTTCTAGAAAGCAAAACAAAATGTTGACCTTTCAAGAAAGAAGGAAAAAAATTTCGACATTTCTAGAAAGATGTATTCTTGCCTGGAGAGCGACGATCTGCTTTCCCATGTTAGGCGCGATAACGGCGTACACCCCGCTCCCCTCCGTCACGGACATGAGAGCATCCCTGGGGCAAGAGAGGAGACGAAAATATACACAACATTGCACGATTAGCTTGAAAAACCACAAACGATGACCTTCCACACAGGAATAATTTCCATTGTCCGCGTGCATGGAAAAGGCGTGGTTCTCTCGACCGTAGACATGATACCCCCTGGACCGATTTTCAAAGCTCAATAACTCCATAGAAAAATGAATGGTGATGCCGAACTAGTTGTCGGCGTTGGGTCCCTCACGTCGACGGCCTTACGAAAACGGGTCACTTGATTTTGACGTCCTTTTCGTCGTTGACAAGTCGAGCTTTGTACATCGGTTCAGGGGGTGTGAAATCGTAGGCAACCTATGGTATGTCTTTTTTCCTTTCCGGGAACCCCCTTGTTCCCACCATGTCTCGCAGCCACTGAGCCCTTCAACTAAACAGTAACGTTCCAGCTTGACCTTTCTCCCAACCAACGAAACTCAGACCAACATCATATGGTGAGGAGGAAAAAAGCAAGAAGTAACGACTCGTCTCCCTCGCCATCCAACTTTCAGGGAAGACGGATACGTTAAGGAAAGACTTTCACGCAAAAACCAAAAGCGCCAACAAAAGCAGCAGCAGCAGCAGCAGCAACAGAATCAGTAGTGGCAACCAGCAACAGATCATCATCGTCATCATCATCACCAGCAGCAGCAGCAACAGCAGCAGCAGCAGCAACAGAATCAGTGGTGGCAACCAGCAACAGATCATCATCATCATCATCACCAGCAGCAGCAGCAACAGCAGCAGCAGCAGCAACCAGCAACAGATCATCATCATCATCATCATCATCATCACCAGCAGCAGCAACAGCCCCGCCACACCCACACCTGTCGCCGCCAGTGGTCCCCATGACGAAGTTAAGGCCGTGCTTGGCGTAGAACTCCGCGTTGGCGTTCACCGCGGAGGGGGTGGTGTAGTCCACCACCACCACGGAGCCCCCAGAGCAGCGCCTCTTCAACTCCGCCACCGCCTTATCGCACCCCTCCGCGTCATCGCTGGGCACAAGAGTCACCTTGGTGGGGTCCCCGCCCTTTGAGAAAATTCCGATACGGGGGGGGGTCCGGAGAGCGGGTAAGCGTTAGGTGGAGCAGCGTCAAATAGTCTTCACGCGCCCTTTTGTCACCCCAAACATACCAGATACATGATACTCAGTCATTTTTTGTTTTCTGCTGCTTTTTGGTGTTGTGTGGGTGTGGGATGGGGTTGGGGCTAGGCTCAGCAGCGTCGTCCTACGTAGGTATTGCGGTTACCTCGTGT